ACCCAGCCCTGCCTCTGCCCGCTCCCACTTTAACCCACGGGGAGCGTTTATTCCCAGGATTTTTGCAAGAGGATGAGCCGCTCGGGCTCACCACCTGCAAAGCTGATGTACTCCACTGCATACGCCGTAAGCCAGAGACAGATGTGCAAGTGTGCGGGCTCCCGGGATTGGGGCGGGGGAGGGTGGATTTTAATCCTGGATTTTCATTTGCAGAACGAAAGCCACCAGCCTGCACGGCGCGTTGTCGGGAAGTCGCCAGCTGGTGCTTTTCCTCTCCTTTGCTGCCATCAGCGGTCAGAGGGGCAGCTGCTATCAGCCAGGGCCAGGACAGGGAGCAGCAGCTTTTTGTAACCCCAGACCTGTGGCACAAGCAGGGCTCCACTGAGACATCCCACCAGGCCCTTTCTCAGCTGCGGGCAGTACCGTCTGGCTCCTTACCAGCATCTCCGCATGCACGCTGACAAACTTGCTTTAGAAAGACTATGTCCCCAGCACAGTCCCAGGGCTGTCACCCCACTTGTTCAACCAACACCCCAGGCGATGAATCCAGCACAGCTGGCCCCGGAAACCCCAGGATGTCTCAGAGCTGAGCCCTGGCCCCGCTCTCGCCATGCCTACCTCGCTGACGTTTCGCGCCTGGAGCAAAGCCTCCATCCTTCTCATCTTTTCCAGCTCAATTTCTCTGGCTATCAGCTGCTTGGCTTGGTAGGTGAGCTGCCTCCGAGCTGGGAGGTCGGGGAACCTGCAGACATCTTCCATGTTCCTTCATTAACAGGAGGGTGCACGAAGAGGGCAAAAAACCAAAGACAGACAAGAAATCAACATGAAAAATTTTAGAAAGCAGTCAGTCAGATTCGCCACTCAGGCATCTGCTGCGTTGCAACCCTGGTGGCAGGAGGCAGCCCCACCATCCACCGGCGGTGCAGAAGGGGGCTCACGGCCCACCAGGTCCCACAGCCAACGCGGCGAGGTTTGGGAGCACATCTGGCCCCATCCCCGTGCTGCGCCTCTCTGCCGTTGGGGTGAAGCCTCACATTCCCCACCTTTACCCCTCCGAGGTCCACGTGCACGACCACAGTTTTAGGAGCAACCCGGCAAAAGGTGCCTCAAGTGCATACCCACCTCACTTCAGCGGATCTCAAGTCAATGAGAATTCAAAAGAGATGATGTGCTTCTTAATCTCAGTTTTAATGCGAGAACAGGAAATCACATACTGGTTGGTTCCAAACCAAGCTCCTGGCACCAAGTTTGGTCCACAACAGCATTTTGCTACCTCCTTTTCTTCCTGAGCTCTTACAACACTATCCAGTTCAGCCTCACCTTAAATCAATTGCCTCACCTCCCACTACAGCATCCTTTGCAGCACCACAGGGAAAAAAGGAGAGAAAAAGATTATGACCAACACCATTGTTCGTTGTATTGACTTACGGCTGTGAACAGCCATTTTGGTTAATCATAGCAGTTTTATCCAGATCAGGTGCACCAGCCCCATTAAGGAGTTAAGCCTTTTTCAGGACAGTTAGAGCAAAGACAGCTCGAGCACTTCTTAGAAACCACCTGATTTAGTTCATCTGACAGTTATAAATATTTCATACCTTATCTGCATTTGATATCATTTCCATTCAAATAAAGGGAATAAACGCACATGTTGGATGGACTCATAGTCATTTAGAAACTAGTTGTCAAATCTACTGTTTAAAAAGTCCTTTCTCTTCCAGTTTTTCCTCATGTGGTCACTGAGCTGCTTTTAAAGACAAGCAGGAAAGCAACAAGATGGGCACCAAACCTGCCACCGTAGGAAAAGTAAACTCTTCCAAAACCTAGCTTTGCTTTAAAAACATCGCTCCTGTTTCAAACACTGCAGTCACTGAAAAGAGGCACCATGCTGCTCCTACGCGTTTTCTACACTCTGCAGCTTTTGGACTAGCAGCCCAGCGTGGGGATGGCAGGATGTCTCGCTACAACCTCAGCAGGTCCCTTAGGCGTTTCCATGAAAAAATAAAACGCTTCACTGTAATTAGATACAGCTGTTTGATTTAACAGAGGCTAATTTTTTTTAATTAACTTTTTTGTACCAGGAAGACATCAGCATTGCTCCAAGCTATGGGTCAGGTCTGTGTTACTGCAATATTTCCTCAAACCCTGGAAGCGTTTCCAGCTCTGCACATGCTTAAAGCATGAAGAAGTCTGAAGTTTTGTGATGACACACTATTGATATATAAATCCAGGAACAAGACCGATAGAGCTAGTCTGTTGTCTCTCATCCTGACGCAGCACCCAGGAGCTCACCCCAGCATGACCGGGCCGAGGTCGGCAGCCGAAGGGGAGCTGTGAAGCGGTCGGAGATCGCTCCGGCCTCCGGAGCGGTAGGGATGACATCCGAGCTGTTCTGGGCACGCATGAATGGGGATATCAGTCACAACATATAAAAAAGCCTCTCTGCGAGCTGTCTGATGACAAGCACAACCACCTCCAGGCTTAGCTCTACTACACCGCTAAGCCACAGCGTGGGAGATGCGGCCGGCGGCGGCCCCGCCCCAGCCGTGAGGCGGGGAGGAGCATCGATGCCTGCAGGGAGCTCGGGCTAGACACTGCGTCGCCTGCCGTTAGCGCTGTGAACCTGCAAGAACCTGTCCCTTCGCTAACTGACACCAGCTTTACGTTGTGGATACGTCCTCAACGCTTAACCCACTGCAAGACGTTTACGGCAAAATTCCTTAGAAATAGGTTTTGCTTTGCAAAGAGGGTCCATGCTGCCAAGCACTGGACTTCCCTTCACTCCTGCTTTTTGCCGGTGAGAAATGAATCTGCCTTGGGCAACGCAGCCTCCACTGACCAAGCCAAAGAGCGCACCACCTCCTTCCCCCAGCAAAGCCTCCAGCACCTTCCTTCCCTTCTCTGCTGGCTCTTGGCATCTGCAGGAAGAGCCAAAAAGCAACTATTTCCTTTCCTTTAATCCAATTAAAGCAAAACAAGTCCCCCTTTGGCACCAGCATGACCAGATAAGCCGGCAGCACGGGACCCAGCAGCCGTCGGCAGGCGGCGACACGCAGGGCGGCCGGGCTGCCAACCGCTGCTTCTGCGGTCTTGCAGGGGAGGTAAAACCCTGGGCGTCAGCGAGCAGCGGGGGCTGCTGCTGGTGTCTCAATGTACTGCTGGGAAGGGCCAACTCAGCAGGGCAAAAAAAGGAGGTAAGAACCATCACCAAAAGAGAGAGAGAGGAAAAAAAATGGGTATTTAGACTGAAAAAAATCTCACTAAGCCCCTTAGAAGAATGGAAGGGATTTGGCACAGCAGGGCGTTTTTGCAGCATTAACCTCAGAAGTGCTTTGCCCTTATTATTATTTTTAAATACATATAGGAAAGGAAAGAGTCACATCATTCTGATTTAGGGCGAGCATTTCAAAAGTTCCTAAAAGACGCAGGAGAACAAGTCTCTCTGGGATTTCTGCTTTTTTGTTCGCGACGTCTTGCCCGTCACAGATAAGATGCAGTGGCCGCACAGGAGAGGGGCACGGCCGGGAAACGCCAGCAAAGAGCCCACTGCAGGAAGGAGAAAACAGGCAAGCCGGAGAAAAGCCAGATTGGTGGAAGTTAAAGAGGATAAAATAAGGTTTGATTAGCAAAGGGGGAGGCAGCGAGGGGTGGGAGCACACGCAGGGAGGCGAGGTCCTTAACGTCAACATGGAGACAAGCGCGTTTGCTCTTTTGGCTGGTTTCCATCTGGCTTCTGACCTCAAACACCACAAATGCCTCTCAAAATCAGAGCGTTTTCCATCAGGAAGAGGAGCACAGAAAAGGGACTGCCTAGACACTTTCTCACTGCAAGAAGGACCGTGACGGCTAGCATTAACGCTCATTGACCATTTTTCATATCAGTTACTAAACCTCTAGTTGTAGCTTCTACTCTGAAAACAAAAAAATGTCCTGGTCCAAGAGGGACGCAGCGTGACCTGGGAACGATCAGAGTGACACAGCCACGTCCCTGGCTTGGATCAGGGCTCTGCCTGCTCGCCCTCAGGACTCCCCGGAGCTAACTTGGACCTCCCCAGAGAAACCTTTAACCTCTGCTGTAGGAAATCAAGCCAATGCCCCGATGCCTTCAGGCTCCAATATCTCCCTGAATGCTTTCATTTCTCTTATTTACTATTTTCAACCCAATCGTCTTCTGTCTGCCCTTTTAAGCATCCACCAAGTCCTATTTCAGTCAACACCCTGCGTTGTCCAGCCCTGTCCAAGGTAGCCCCTTTTATTTCCACCAAACTGCCCGCAGATTATTAAGGTGACAGATTTATACCAGCGGTGTTTCACATCGCAGCATTCAACTTACGGGTCGAGCTTGTAGACATACTGGCCCTCGGGCGTGCGCTCCTGGTGGTAGGTGAGGTTGTAGGCCAGCATGGTGTTGATGAGGTCTGTGAGCTGCTGCTTCTCCTTGAGGCTGTACAGCTGCATGTTCACCTGGGAGGAGAGCGGAGCTCTTCAGGGAACGGCAGGGAGGTTAAGTAAGGGGAGAGCGCAATTAATCTGTAAAATAACTTGAGGCAGATATTTTTCCTTGATACAAGAAAGGACAATTAATACCCATGAGGATCAGACCAGAGAGAAAAAGATTAGTTTCCTATTAGGGACACCATGTACTTTGCGGAGCTGGGAAAGTCCCTTCCATTGGCCAAAAGGGTAAATGCACCGTCAAACGCAGCCACATGCTTCAGTGAGGTGCTGCACAGGAGAAGCGCTGGGAGCCGGAGGAGAGAGCATACAGGGCTGCTGGGTGCCTCACCGGCCGGAGCTTCGGGGCGATGATATCCAAGAGCAAACAGAGCACCTCCAAGACGAGAGCCTGCTGCCCGGCACGGCTCCGGGCGCCAGGCGTTATCCCCGAGACCATGGACATGATGAGGTTCTGCACGTGGTTCAGCTTGGCCAGGGCCTGGGGCGAGAGAAACACTTCAGCCACCGTGCGGCAAACACGGCCACCGCCAGCCACCTCCATGGGCGGCAGGGCTGGAGCCAGGCGCCCTCCGGCCCTCCCATTACTCGCCTCGTGCTGGCTGTTGGGATACGCCAGCCGGGGGATGCTGGAGGCTGCGAAGAGAAGGTGGAAAGCCACGGGCAGGAAAGGCAGGTACCTCATCAGCTGGAAGCTCTGCCCATGCAGCACAACCCTGCTGAGCACATCGGAGAAGCCCAGCCACTCCAGGGCCAGGCACACCGAGCTGAAACTAGAGTCCCTCAGCTTCATGTTGAGGAAGTTGTCGTACAGGCCCTGCAAGGGATTGCACAGAAACGCTGTCACCAGTAGCTCTGGGCCAGGCAGCCTAGCCCTTCAGAGCTGGGATGTTAAGCATCCCACTAAATTCACCTCCAGCACTGCCTATCAACTCAATACTCTACCCAGAACTAGCATGGAGCATCGACTAGCAGCCTGCATGCTTGCAGGCTACGGCAGGGGGGGGGGTTTCAGCCACCCACCAGCCCCCGCACGTGTGCTCCGCATGGCGCAGCAGGGGAGGCACCTGGCTTTCGCGGTCGGGCTGCTTTACCTGGGTGAGCTTCTCATGCTCCCCGGTGGTGACGGCGAGGTGAAGGATGCGGTGAAACCTGTGCGAGGCCGTGAAGCCAGCCTTCACCCCAAGGTGCAGCAAGCCGTCGTCGCCCCCAAGGAGCTGGTTCGGCAAGGCGGGGTCCATTCCTATCCTGTGCCTGGGGAGACCAGACAGGAGGGTGCTCAGGACGCACAGCTGAGCAACGAGCCCTTACAAAAATGGGGCGGGCCAGTGCTAAATGGGTCAGCAAGGAATATTTGGACCATTTAAATACTGTCTTCAGTCTGGTTTGATGTTAAACTACTGGGCACTAAAAAGAGCATCCAAAGCGAATCTGGAACACACAAATCTGCTTAAACAAAGCCCGTTCTGCTGCAGGACAGATCGTCTGCCCAGGGACGGTTCAGGTCTCCCCACCATACGCCCTGCAAGGAGATTACGCGAAACCACAAAGCAGCATGCACCAAACAGACCGTTTCCTAAGCTTCTGCACATGCTAGTGACCTAATAAATTCCCCTGGTTATTACCTTTGAACCTTTGGGAGCTGGAAAATCTCTTGCCAAATGGAGAAGAGCCCTTTGTTTTGGTCCTTCATGCCTATCTTCATCGTCTGCACCATCTGCACACTTAGCTCCTTCTGGCCTCGGCCATGCAGGAACTGCAACACAAGAAGGTGTTGGGCTCTGCGAAGGGGGAAACTCCAGGAAGGAAACGGACAAAGGGAGAAGGGGGATGCCGACAACAGTTATCTGGCACTAAGAAAAACACGAGACAAAGGCACCGCATCCTTCCTCGCTTCGTAGGGGAATTGAGCTTCCTTCCCACTGCAAGCGAAGGGGTTTCTGCCCTACCTGCAAGGTGTTTATGCACGAGCGGATGTCGTTCTCAGTCTTCTCGCACAAAGCCAGGAGGGCTCCTGTGTCTGCCTTCATGCCCTGCCTGAGGGCAATCTAAAAGAGAAGGACTTCCTCAGACCCGCTCCCGTCCGCTTGTCCACTTGCCAGCTGCAACGCGACTCCCGGGCAAAGCCCAGGGCCCAGCCGTACCTCCGAAAGCCGCTGGGCCAGCCGGGACGGGGCCGTCTGCGGGAAGTTTAACAGGAACGACTGCTGCCGCAGCTGCCTGAGAGATGGGACGTATCTGGCAAAGGGAAACACAGGGATCTCTGAGCAACCCTAACAGAAGAGGAAATCCAGTCATTAAAAAGGAAAAGTGCATTATTTAATAGCTAGCTACACAAAATTGTGCGTTTGCATGCACAAACGCTCTCATATGTTGAAACCTGAGAAGAAATCACACCAGCAGACAAAAAACCTGATGAGTTTAAGAAAAGCTGAACGTGTTGCAGTTTTACTCTTCGGAAGGCATTTCTGATCCGAGGTCCAGCACCAACCAGCTCAGTGAGGGGAGGCTTTGGCGGAGGGTGCCCTTTCCTGCAAGGCTGAAGGCAACACTACTCCTCCCCACTAGCACCACTGCGGCCACCTACCCAGGGAGCCTGGGCTGGTTCCACCTCTCGCTCTCTCCCCATTTTCTGACCCAGATGGGCAAGCAATACTAACTGGTCATTGCAGATGCAGATGATGGGTCTGAGCAGCAGGCCACCTTCCCTCCTTCTCCTCCGGCCTACTCCGGGCACTGCCTCAGCCTCCACCTCCTTACGGTTGAGGATATTCAGCAGCACATTGACAGATGCCTTGGGAAAAGTTATGAGGAAAAAAAAGAAATTAATGCTTGCTGTGTAGGGAGACAAGAAACAGTTGGTAGAAACCGAGCAGGGTCGCAGCCAGGGGAGCAGCTGTGGACACGAGGCGATAACCCAGAGGCAAGCGCAAAGGCAGCCTGATGCAGGCAGCCGGCAAGGACTTACGGTGGGTGCGCCATCGATCTCATCGATGATCAGACAGTTGGGCTTCTCGTTGGCACCTAGCACTGACTTCATCTGCGTGGCAGCTTCGATGCGGGTTTTGAAAGCCTCTGGGCTGCGGTCATCACTGCAACAAAAAAAACACACTGGGTTGCTCCTGTACGGCGCCTTTCCCATTGGCATTTTGGATGGAACAGGGCTGGGCAGCCCGCACAGACTCACCTGGCGTTCATTTCAACCACGTTGTACCCCGCGTGCTTCGCGATGACATGGGCCAGCGTGGTCTTTCCTAGACCAGGCGGGCCGCACAGCAGCGCTGCCTGCAGAGAGGGTGACATCAGCCACGCAAGCAGCAAGGCACAGGCTTATCCAGCACCCACCGCGCCTGCGATATAAGGGGGCCAGGCTCTACAGCCTGCAAACAGCTCCACCTTCAGCCCCTGCAAGCCGCTGCACCGATTGCCGTGTTTGTGGACATGCTGGGAAAAGGGACAAGAAGCTGCAAGAAGGGAATTATAACAAACTCTCAGAGGGGACAGAGTCACCCCAGCTGGTAGCTGTCTCTCTCACGCACGTGAGGATTCATTTAAGTTTGCAGGGCAGCAGATGGAAAAGGCTATACCCTGGAGAAGCAAAACTGTTAGTATCTAGTTTTGTTTCCTCTTTTTCATATCCTTTTGTTGTCAGGTTAAAGCCGGTAAAACGGCCTGGATGTGTCAGCTGAGGTCCCTTTACTGCCTCATCATCACTGCTCTCTCCTGGATGCAGAACTTCTTGCTCAAAGACATGTCACACCTGCCCAGAACAATTAAAGTCAAGACTAACCTCTCCCTAAAAGGGTACATCTTTCCTCAACCAGTCAATTTAATCTGCCTAAGTTTTGCTGGAAAACTTCTCTTGAAATCTGTTCCCCTCCCCCTGCTACCATGTTATTTAAGCTGAAACAGAAAAGGAAAGGAGAAAAACATCACATTTGCTAAAGGAGAAACAAGGAATCCAATTTCTCCTGGATTTGTGCTGAAAGGAAAGACTCTGCTCCCCAGCATGGTGGTGGGATTAGGGGGACAGGAGAGGAAAGACCCTTCACAGCTGCATCCTGTCCCGCTCACCTTGTACTTGGGTCTCTTGTGCTGGTCCAGTTCAGCCTCCAGAATCTCCTCTGTGAGCTGGGCCTTACTTTTCCACTTATTCTGCTGCTCCTTGGGCTGTTTGGACACAGGAGGAGCCTCAGCGCTGGGCTTCGCTTTCTTCACAAGTTTCTCCTTCCCGAACACCACCGTGTCCCAGAGCTTGAGCCACTTCAGAAGGCAGCGGTTTGTGTACTGAATGTCAGACATGAAAGAAAGCAATCGGCATTTAATCTCAGAAGCATCCAGCTGAGGAGAGTGAAAGGCCTCCCCTTTGTGGCCTAAAAAGCTGTGTTGCATGCATAAGAACGAGCTGAGCTGCTCAGATGCCAGCCTGGAGGAGGCAACAGGCAACACGTCTGCCCAGACAGACCTCAAGCGCTTGTCACCTTCCGCCCTCCACGCGAGAGGCTGGCTGGGTTTCCATGAGGTATCACTGTGTGACAGGCTGGGCCAGAAACTGGGAATGCAGCTTCCCTTCCTGGCTCAGCCAGCATCCCCTAGTGGGACCAAGAACAAGTCCCACCATCTCCCTCGTATGCCTCAGCTCAATCCAGTGGTTTGCAGCCTTTCCCAATTTGCAATTCCAGTTTCCTACACATTTTCCAATACAGGTTAGCTGGCTCAAGTCTGTCCAATAGTCTTGCTTGTCTTGGTTATCTTTTATAGACCCTTTAGCCTAAGGGTCTGCAGACGACAGCTGAAAAACCACTGCTGCGAGCTCTCTGAAGCAAAAGCTGCCCCCGACCACCTACGTGGCGGTCTAACACAAGCAGAGTCCCCCAGCCAGCATTTCCAAAAGCCACACTAGCACATGCTGCTGGTAAAACCTACACGCCACACCATTAAAGAACAGTTATAAAAACGTTAAACCCACCCAAACCCCGCTTATACTGGCATCTCACATCATCACTGAGCAACTCCGTGTAGCGCCGGGGAGTAAACCTGTCCACCCAGAGGCAATGCAAAGCAGACTCCTCCTCGTCATCCGCCATCTCCGCATCCTCGCTAGGCTTCGGGGTCTCATCACTGTCCTGGCTCTCAAGGCAGCTGCAAGAGTCATAAGCGAAGGGAAAGGCTCAGAGCAGAGCTCCGCAGTGCACCATCCCTTCCACCGAACACCGCATTGGTTACAGTGCGGCAAAAATCAATCCACATCTTCCCAAGTGATAGCAACAGTACAGAACCCTCATCCTGCTCAGTCCTATGACCCCGTTACTTACACTGCACAGCACTTAAAGGACACAGTGCTGAAGAGAGCTATTCCCACGCTCACAATTTCCATTCCTCCGGCTCACACCTTCTCAGCACCCAGAGCAATGCAGTTGCAAAGCTACTGCTCTTGACAGAGGATTGACCACGGTGCTGCATATAAATATTCCCATTTACTCTTTCTATTGAAGTTTACAGAAGAATATTCCCATTTACAGAAAAAGTCCTTAGAGGGATGCTCCAAGATAAGGACTGTGCAGTGTTAGGAACTGCACGCTCCCAAAGTAAAAGACGGGCACCAGATGAACAAGGTGCCTGTCAAAGACTGGCGAAAGAATTATCTTCGTTTTATAACGACCTGCCCCAAACCACACAGGCAGCAAGGGCAGAGCTGGGAATTAAAACCTAGCTCCCCAAGCTGCGGGTGCTGACTGCCAAGAGGCTCATCCTATGCTCACAGGCACTTTGTGGCTGGGGTCCCAGCAGGAAACCTCCACTCCTGGATCCCCCCAGGAGCCACATCCGAGAGCGCAGCAAGGACAAGAACTGCCCAACAACTTACCTGTTTATGATCTCTGTCAGCTGCTGCGAGGCCTCCAGAACGTGCCTTCGACGCTTGAACATAAACAGGGCGAGAGGGAGATCAGAGACGCTCCACCAACCCACAGCTGGCCAGCGAGCAGGGATTTGAGAATCGACACTTCCCTGCGGGGAAGGTTCCCCCAACCTCCCCGGTGGGGGAAGCAGTTCCTGCAGTCCCAAGGAGTTTATTCAAGGACTAGCAGAGAAAGCCTTGAAGGTAGGGATAAGTTGCAGTACCTCTTCGTTCACTTGTTCCTTCAGGTAGGAGAAAGGTACCCCCAGCAAGTGAAGCGGCCTGTGCGCGTTCCAGCCCAGGGAGTCGGGAAGCTGCAAATGGCACACATACGTTCACATCGATGTATGGCGCAGACACACGTTTCACACCTCATTAAAGATGCACCCCTGAACCAGAGCTCACCGACGCAGCTAATCTAAACAAGCGCAGCCCTCAACCCCTCTTACCTCCACCCCAGTCCTGGAGCGTTCTTCCTTCAGAACCAGAAAGACCCTGGTGCCCTCAGTGGACGTCACGTTGACGTAGTCCTCCAGGACAGGTGGGCGCTTGAGAACTCTCTTTGGATTCTTCTCGGAGGGTGGCGTGGTTTGAAGAGGAACCATGTCACTCATTCCCAGGTGGTCCAAGCTTGAGAACATCAGGCCCCTTTAGAGAGAGGCAAGAGAAAGAGCACTGCAGTCCCCACCCTAAGGAAGAAATTCAGTAGGGAGCCATTTCAGCAGCAGCAGCATCTTGCAGGCCTTGGTCTACCCAACACCACTCAGGGAAACAAAAAGGAAGCAGCTGAAGGTAGAAGGTTAATAGGTCACAAATGGAAACACATTAAACTCCCATGCGGGCATCTGCATTCAGAAATAAAGCAGCCTTAATTCTCTGTAGCTTAACCATAGGAGGATTTCCCTCAAAACCCTGGGGGATTAGACTGCTGGGAAAAACATGCTACTTTATTCTGAATGAACATATCCCCGTGCTTTAACTTAAACACGCTGCCTGCGCACAGTTAGTTTATCCACCATCACCTATCGAAGCATAGGTGCTGCGATATAGGTGCTCTGGGTATACAGGGCTGGCACCACTCAAAGCCTACACTAGAGCACTCCTCTAGCAAACCCAGAACGCTTCCGGATGGGAACTGCTCAATCCCTGTCCCTTTCAACTCCCTCCAGCCTCCTCGGCCCAACCGGCCAGCACAGCTTGAGCAGCGCCTCCCTGAGGCGCTCACAAGCTCAGATCTGAACCTCACTGAAACTCAAGTGACAGAGCAGGGCATCTCTCAGGGCCACGCTTGCAGGAACAAGACCTACAGACGCTTGGACTCGCTCATGATGTCCCGCTAGCTGTGCTAGTGCTCCAGCTCCTCAGGTCCCTCAGCCATGACTGCAGCAGCCCACGTCCTCTCTCCTCCGCAACACAGGCTTTCAGGCAACATCTACTACTCCTGAAGGCAGGCACCCGTGTGCCCAGGACAAGTGCAGGTGCACACTCCCAGGAACACCGCTGCAGGTGCCCTGGCCCCACACCTCCCTTCAGCGAACGTGGCATGTCCAGCTGGCGCTGCGAACAGAAACACAGCGAGCCCGTACCACCACCCAGCCCCTTTCCCTTCCGACCCAGGCGGAGATTCGATAGCCCTGCGGTTTCCAGCGGTAACACAGTTCATAGCATTAATACAGTTCCCAGATTTAACATAACTCTACACAAAAGCAGGAGAAGATGCCTGGGGCTGGCTAACCTGGCACTCTGTGGGGCAGCAGGTGCCGCTGGGTAGGGTGGCAGGGTAACAGCATCCTGGGGGAACTCAGGAACCAACTCATCATCTACACCAAAGTCCAGCTTCTTAACAGCTTCCAGTCGCTGCCGCTTTGGCTTCGGAGCTGCGAGGGGCAAAAAGGAAGAGAAGAGAAGCAACCTTGACCAATGCATGAAAGTTACAGTGAAAGCTCACTGGGCTACGCCTCCATCCACCCTTGAGATGAGCATCGGAAAGGGCTCAGGGAGGAGCCGGGGCTCAGGAGGAGCTTCAACACCCAGGGACAACACGGGTCACCCCGGTCGTGAGACCACCGGCCAAGGACTGCTGCTGCCCTGCAAGAGGGAGCGGAG